CACTTTCATGATCATTTTCTTCATGAGCACGTTTTCACTGTCAAAATCATAATAAATTTATAGAAATTTAATTGCCTTCATCTCTATTATTCCCACAACAACCATCCTTTTAACTCCGTTATAAGCAGAGAAAAAATCCATTTGATAATATCAAACCCAATGACCAACTACATATATAACCCAGAGTTGAAAAAATGATTGTTTGGAACTCTAAATACCCGCATGAATCAAGTCAGATCCTAATTGATAATCGTTAATTCCTCACTGCCAATTTGAGTGAGTTTGAGATTTTACTCGTCTCTGAATTGGTCGATGTGTTTGTGGTAGTTGCAGAGAAGGGAAATACAATTTTCACTGTTAAAATCATAATACATTTATAGAATTTTAATTGCTTTCATCTCTATTATTCCCATAACAACCATCCTTTTAACTCCGTTATAAGCAGAGAAAAAACCCATTTGATAATATCAAACCCAATGACTAACTACAGATATAACCCAGAGTTGAAAAAATGGTTGTTTGGAACTCTAAATATCCGCATGAATCAAGTCAAATCCTGGTTGATAATCGTTAATTCCCCACTGCCAATTTGAATGAGTTTGAGATTTTACTCGTCTCTGAATTGGTCGATGTGATTGTGGTAGTTGTAGAGAAGGGAAATATAACAAATAAGATTATTGAGCGACAAAGGGTTATAGACTTGTAGAGACTCTTTTGTGGTGGATTGAATGAACTTTTACATTGTTTATATAAATTTTCTTTCATCACTTAATTGTCGGTTTCTTTTTTTCACTCTATTTTTTTCCCATTCCTTTCTTTGCTTTTCTCATTTTAATTTCTTTTTTTTTTGTTTTCTAGGCTTTCCTTCTTTCTTCATTTTCTTTCTTTTGTTCCTTTATGCACATATTTTATCAAATTTGATGATTACATGCTTGGTTTTATTTTTTTTTCCTTTTATGCTGGTTAAAAACTATTTTATTTAAGTAGCAAACTCTTAGTTTAATTTGTTATTATTGAAACCACTTTCGATTTTTTAACGGTAAGTTTTCTCTAACTACAAGTTTTTATAGAGAGGGTAAATATGACATTTTACTACTTATATTTAAGTGTCTTTGACGGGTTTACTTAAAAAAGAGGTACTTGTAATATTACCACACCACAGGCATTTAATGATAGTTTGGTCAAACCACAAATGAGGTAGATGTAATTAACCCTTAAAAATTTGATGGAAATCAATAAGGGTTATTCAGACTTTTTGCTATTTTCGTTACTTATAAGTGACAGAAGTTAGTGTGGAGGAGGAATCTGTTATTTGGTCAAATTTCATGGATCGATTCGTTATTTTGTCAAACTTCAAGGGAGGTAAATGTAATTAACCCATTAAACAATGGGCACCAATCTGCGGGTTCTTCCTCGGTGTTTGCGTTTGCCCGCTGGTAGCTAGTTGTGTAATAGGAATAAAAAAATTTTCTAAACCTCCCGGCCAAACGGGTGGCTAGAAAGCGGAATGACCGACCCTTTTATTTATTTCTTTGACCGGTTGGTCGCCCGTATCTAGAAGAACCGTTAGACGGGTACAAAACCTCCCAGCCAAACGGGTGGCAACAACGCGGAATGACAGGCGCTTTTATTTCTTCCTTTGACCGGTCGGTCGCCCGTATCTAGAAGAAACCATTCGCAACTACCCACCCTCATCTTCAAGCGCCAAAAACATTCTTCAAATGTATGATTTTTTTTTTTTTTGCAACGATATATGTAGTAGAGAGTTTGTAAATATACAAATTCAACTATACCAAGAAAACATTATGACATAATAATTTAATTTTTTTTATTACATTTGAGATTTGAACCATCACTTACAATTGGATGAAAAATTTAAGTCCCTCTCTGATGATCAGTGAGCCAATGTTTCCTTGAAACGTATAACTATCATGATACTACTATCATAAAAGGCATAAAGTCAGTAACTTCTGATCTTGACTGTGGAATTGCGTAACCCACCTCGATGTGTCTCCTTGGGAAAGGACACCGTTCACGGCCCCTTTGCAATATCATTTCTGTAAAGATACCAATCACGGCACGCGCGTGCGCACACCCGTGCATACACATATTGAGAAATTGTACTACTTTCTTTTTCCTAAAATTATTGTGTATGTTTTTTTTAGTGTATTTGGATGGAAGATAATTTTGAATAATTTAATCTAATATCATAATTTTTTTATGATATAATGTGCATAAGATGATAACATAATTGAAAAATAAAAAAATTAAAATTATGATTATGATAAAATAAAAAAATATTTTCCAAGATGGACTATACAAGCACACTAATAAAAGTTCCTGCAGTCCGAAAATGGAATTTTCTACAAAGTATGTAATTGGACGACAGGCATTTTCACGTAACAATCAAACGGAGCGTACTCATTTCTGATTTCTGTGGGCAAAAATGCGTTTCAATAGAGCATAGAAAAGTAAAAGGAAATGGCACCGGTTATTCAAAAGTTTGAAATGAATCAGTACTTCGTTTGTTGAAAAAAAAAAGAAATGAATTACTTTCTCTTCTAGAATGTCTGAGTAAGCGGTCCAACCAAATTGTACGACTAGCATTTTGCAATTCATGTCTGTGGGTGTCGGTCACAAGAAATTTTGTCGTCGCACGAGGTATTGCTAAATTGTACAACTAGCAACGGCTTAGCCCGCACCGGTTGCGTTACATCAAATGAAGCTTCTATTACCGTCACCGTTCCGCGTAAGTTTGGTTGGTCACCATTCATGGATGTTAAAATCATCTTGCTGTTTGGTTAGGAAGTAACATTCATGGACGTTAGAAATTTTTTGTTTGAGCTCTCCATCCTTTTGAAAAACAAAATTTTTAAATATAATATTATGATAATAGATAAATAAAAATAATTTAAAAATATTCAAATATATCAAAATCAACTCCCAAATACATAAAAATTAAAAAATTTTAAAAACTTTATTTCTATCATCTTTTTTCATCGATTACCACCACCGCCTCTTCTTCCTATTCTCTCTTCCTCTTCCTTCTCTCTCCCTCTTGACTCCTCCATCTCCCTTCCCTTTTCCCTATCTTTTCCCACCATACCTTGCATATTCTCTACCCCTTCTCTCAATCTGGTCTTGACTATATTAGGTCGGATTGGGGAAGGAAGGAGGTAGATCGAGGAGAAGAGAAGAACCGGAAAGGGATGGTGGCGGTGATGGATGGTAGTGTTAATTTTATAAAAATATCTTAAAAACTTTTATACTCTAAAAAATTTCAAAAAGTACCATAAAAAATATTTACAGTAAAAAATTTTCATATATATTGTTACGAAAAAATATTAAAAAAACAATCAAGAAACAGCTAATTCAAATGAAAATAAAATGATATACAAGTGTCTATAAACACTAATTAGTATATCTCAAAAATGTCTAATTTGCCATGTAATGTATATACATTTGACACTTTCGCAAATAAAAAAAAATTCTAAGAAAAGTAATAGCTGAGGTCTTACTTAATTTTTTTAAAGTAAAACCTGAATTAATGCCCCTCACTCTCTTTATTCCATCCCATCATTTCCCTATTTCCCTACTTAAAAAAAAAGGTTAACGCCTTGAAGTCTCTATTAAACAAGACTGCTAAAAACTAATCTTTATATCTAATATTTTCCATTGAGAAGGGGTTAAATGTCTAAAACACTTGTTTGGATGGCCGTTTTTTTTATAAAAAAATTTTAAGTTTTTCGTGAAAGTAATTCTTTAATTATCTTTTTATTTTATATATATTAAATTATTACAGTATAATTTTTTTACAAACACTCCAAAAAATATTAATTCAAATGGGGATACTCCTTTGGAAAGGAAGGGAATGAGAGAGAATATCTACAGAACAGCTTATTAGTTATTTGTCGAGGATAGCGTAGATGAAGTAGACAAAGTGACAATCAGCGGATGGTGCATGGACACGAGAGCATGCAATGAACAGGTACGTACGATAGGGGTGGGCGCGGGTGGAGTACTCACCCCATTCACCATTTAGCTGACTCGATCCGCACCTTGCGGGTCAGCCATTCTTTGACATTTACCTGCCCCGCATATCAGCTGGTACCCGCTGAGATATGGTCGGGTCAACGGGTACCTGTCCCACCCCATTTATCATTTAATTTTAAAAAAATGATTTATACCAATTTAATTTTATATTTTACACATTCATCTAAGATTTAATAAGTTTTTTTCTAAAAAAAAGGTTTCCCACCAAGAAACAAGCATGTGAAGAAAATATAAGATAAAGGGAAAAAATTAAAAGAATTCGAAATCAATAAAAAATTGAAATAAGTAGCACAATTTCTAATATATACGTTCCACATTAATTAAATTTTTTTCTATAAAATATAAGATCATGACCTCTACAAATGAATCTTGTAAATAAATTATAGTCTCTCATATTTGTAATGCAATTTGTTTAATAAAATTACTTATTTAGTTTTTATTATTTTATAGTGTGTGTATAAAAATAAAAAAATATATATACGGGGTGGATCGGGTATCCGCAGGTTTTTAATTATGTGATCCTAACTCGCCCCGCATCTTAGCTGGTACCCGACCCTCTTTTGACCCAATCAAATAATAAAAATCGAATATTCTTATTTTAGGATCGAATTAGATAGGATATGACGGATTTTCAGGTTAGTGAATAATTTTGCCCACCCCTAAAGTACGATATGGAAAAAAGAAATACTAAATCTGGATAAGCGCTGTGGCTGGTGAGTCGTTGCCAACTAGGCTCACAAGGGACAAGTGGACAAATGCGATGCGAGTCAATTATTATAAAGTCTGGGGTCGTCCCCACCGTCTCACGGCCCTCTGGATGAGAATTCCGGGTCAGCAATCCTAATCTAAATCCCGTGTTCCTTGCCATTGCAACCTGTATTAAGTATATTAACTATAACTACGAACCAGCTGGCTGAATCCAATACCCAAAGGCCCGTCGCCCACAGCATCCTATCAAAGGCTGGAGTCGTCCCTGCTCCCTGGCCTTGACCGCCAATCTCTACGCATCTCTTCGTATTACAGTTATAGAAGCTTCCATCGATCAAATCCCACACCAATACTCCTACTAACTAGTCCATCATCTCTCTCTTGCATCATCCATGACGATAGCACCATTCATTTCCTTCCACGTCCACCTCATCCAAATCGAATCTACCCGAATGTGAGCCTCTCTCTGTCTGTCTGTCTATATATATATTGCCGTCTCCACAAGTCTCCGCATAGCGCTGCAAGTGCAAAAGTGCAAGCTCCAAGAGAACACCAATTAACTACACTACTACTGATTAAAAGCCCGCAATTCAGCAACCAACAAAAGCAAGAAAGCATGAACGCCGAGGTTATTTCCAGCGGTCACCTGCAACTTTTCCCAACAAGTTCAAATACAAGACATTGTGGCTCCCAGCTTCCATTTAGCGGCAGGGCCAGTACCGGTAGCATAGCATTAAAGCCAAGAAGAAGACCTGGGCCGCTCAGAATAACTGCCAGGGCCGCCGTTTATGCACCGACCCAGACCCAGGCCGAAACTTTCTATGATATGCTGGGAATTTCGGAAACAGGGTCGATTTCCGATATCAAGAAAGCCTACAAACAGTTAGCAAGAAAATACCACCCTGACGTGTCACCGGCGGACCGCACGGAAGAGTACACCAAGAGGTTTATCGAGGTTCAGGAAGCTTACGAGACGCTTTCTGATCCACAGACTAGAGCTTTGTACGATATGAATTTAGGTCGAGGATTGCATTTCGCTTTTTCAACCGGAAGACGCAACGAGGTAAAAAAACACACACACGCTAGTATCAAATAACCTCCCCCTCCCCCCTCCCCTCTTCCCCCCCAAAAATAAAAGCCCCACTTAAGGCTTGGTAACGAATTGAGATATTAATTTCGGTTTGTGTTAATTTGGAACAGAGAATGGATGATGTGGAGGAATGGAAACTTAGGTGGCAATCTCAACTGGATGAGCTGAGGCTGTGGAGCATGCACAGGGATAATGTCTCCTCCGCCGTTAGTGGGAAGGCAGCGGCGTCGCCCTCGTCGTCCTGGGGTAGTCGAATGCGCCGAAAGAGAACTGACATTTATGATCTTGGATTTCGGTAGCATATATTTTGCCTATTGCTAGCTATAAGCTAGGTCCGTTCATCGTGGGGATCCTTGCTCCCTCTCTGACATAATCATGACAGATTTCGGCGCCGCCGCCGGCAGCACTGGGAGCTGTTTCCAGATGTATATAATTAATTTTTTCTCTCTTCCATTTGGACGTGTTTATAACTCGGCCATATCGTTTTGGCTTCTAGAATTATTGGGAAAAATAAATATTTCCCTTTTTTTTGTGGATAAGATTCTAACTTCTATTAATGCACTACTGCCTTTTAATTAATGAAATGGGTTCTTTGATCCAATTGAGAACAAAAGCAAGTAGAGGATCGAAGCTTCTGTTGTTGGAAATAAGTGCTGTCCTACTTATCCATTTGGACAGTTTCTATCGCACAGCGGGTAGGGGAAAGTAAGAAAATAGGTCGAGATATGAAATTCAAGATTCTAGATGACGACAATTCAAATTGCTCTTTTTGTTTTTAGGTTAAAAAATTGTTTGATTAGTAGTAGTATAATGTTAGGTCACCGGAACTATCGCGTTAGGATACGGTCTCAATCAAATGCCACGTTCGTTAAGAGATGAGAGGTAGGGTCGCAGTGAGGAAGGACTGGAGGTTTATGTTCACAAGTTTACTGTATTCGCTAGGGTGCGCATCTTTTGCTTCAACAATTAAAGGAAGGAAAAGGAAAAGAAAAGGGAAACGCGTGGTACATAGCAAGGGAGAAGTGTTGAGTTCAAAAAGCTTAGAAATTTGTGCCATTTATATTTCAAGAATTTGCTGTAAGGCTATTCATCCCTCTCTTTCTTTCTTGACGACATAATGAAATAAATATGACATAATGAAATAAATATAATTAAAGTAGTCAAGTTTTCACTTTTGACACAAATACAATCACTAATTCATTATTGTGCTTGTGCTTTTTTTAAGAAAAAAATGTTATTATATTAAGTGTAATTAGGAATTTAGTATAAATATATTAGTAAATTTAGTATAATCAGTTAATAATTTGTATTAGTACGCATATATAATTATTAGTATAATTAATAATATCAATTATATTATATATACTAATAGACATCATAATATTATTATTATAAATTTGTAACTAATTAAATTATATATTATATATACAATTATATACATATATATTTTATATATTTATTTTTTTAAAGCGGGTGACGGGGCAGGGGTACACTCCCCCGCCCCACCCCAACCTCGTCCCCATTAGCCCCCCGCGGGGCGGTCACCCGTCTCCATTGCCATCTCTAAACGCATGCAATGGACGATAAACACGAATTGACAGCTCGTGGCTTATCTTTTTGCAAATTTAGTCACACGATGAGATGAGATTTTCATCACTTCCCAACCTCCTTTTTATTTTTTTATTTATTTAATTTTTTCATGAGAAAATTCTATAAGAGAGAACCTTCTAAATGTGTTACTTCTCTTACATTTCATTGAAAGTATCGTACTTTTCACATGTTACTCCTCTCTGTTCTCAATATAATCACATGTATGTTACTACTCAAATTTAAATTTATAACGATAAAATTAAAAAAATAAGTACAAATATTACAATTAAAATACTATTTGTAAACCGTTGAATTCCTCAAATATAATTGAATAAATAGGACGGAGGAAGTATTTGACAACGTAAGCAAAGCAAGAAAATTTTGTCATTCAACGCATGCAATGATATATTTTTTCTCATTGACGTAGACACGAATTGGTAGCTTTGCAGCTCATCTTTTTTCGCAAATTCAAGGGCGTTGAGAAGGAATCTTGGTAAAATTCCCAATTCCCCCCCCCCCCCTCCTATTGGTTCTTTTCTTTTTCGGCAGGAAGTTCTTAGTACCTCCATCAAATTCAAGGTGTTGAAATGTGCCATTTTAACTCTTAATGCATAGGTTTTGATACAATAGGAGTATATGACAAAGCTAATAGGATTTTTACTGGCAACTATATCTGCATAGTAAAGGACATCTCCATCTTCACTCTCCCTAAAATTAAGTGAGTTTTGGATGGACATTGAAGTTTATCTCTGAAAAAAAAAAATTTGTGAATGCTGCTCTCAAATCCCAATTACGGTCGGTAAGGAAAACCGAAAATTTTCAAATGGATACGGAATAGAAGTGGGATAAACTGAAGATGCTAATTCGATCATACATGTACATTGGAGTATAAAAAAAAAATACTAATAATAATAATAAGGTCTCAACACTAGGTGTCATCAACATGATATGATGATGAGTGGGGTCCCAAATTGCTTTTCCCGTTGTGCGGTTGGTCGGCCGGGCCACATGCATGATGATGCATCAGGGGGGTCCCAAATTCCATGTCATATTCTTCGTTATCCGCATTGCATCGCATGATCCCTTGCTTGTCTCCATAAATGAACAAAACGCAAAGGAGTAATCAATTGGTTCTGATCTGATTTATCGTTCTCATGTCGGAAGCTTTTAACTCCTCCCGTTTAAACTTTAATGTACGTAGGTGCAGGCATAATATTGCAATCGTCCAAAGCTGCAAAATCTTCACTTCAAGACACTAGCGGAGATGTGGAGGTGAGTCACCTCCGATGCAGATGCCGTCACCGAATTTTATGAGGATAAGGATGTTTTTTTTTTAATCAATTATCATCCCTACTCTCACTAAGGAAAGCTCAACTGAGTCTACGAGGAATCGAAGAGAATAGAACCACTACTGAACCAGACGGATGCACTACGTATCCGTCTGAATTTGAAGCAGAGCCACAAGAGTGACATTTTGGTAGTTGCCTTCCACCTAGGGGTGTAAACGAGCCGAGTTCGAGTTGAGTTTTGGTTAATCGAGCCGAGCTCGAGTTAATTTTGTGAAACTCGAACTCGACGAGCTCAAAATATCAAGCTCGAACTCGACGAGCTCAAAATATCAAGCTCGAGCTCGAGCTTAAAAAATAAAAAATAATTATTTATTTTTAAAAATGAATAAAACAATAAAATTTTTAATAAATAATAAAATATTAGGGATATATATGTAATTTTACTATTAAAATAAAAAATAAAAAAAATATATATAATTGAGCTTGCGAGCCAACAAACTTAATGTTTTTGAGCTCAAACTCGAGCTCGATATTAATGAATTCGAGTCGAACTCGTATTCGAGCCGCTCGCGAGTTCGATTCGCGAAACACCCCTGCTGCCACCCCACCAAAGTCTTCGAGACTTGTGGTGGCAGGCAGCCCAAGAGCCGGTGGTTTCTGAGGATAAGGATATGTTGGGAACACAAATAATTTAATTCTTAGACGACAAGCTTATCAGTTATGCTGACCAATTGACGCCCCTCGCCGGTCCCAGTCCCTGCAGCCCACGTGCCCCGACGCTGTCGGGCTTCAACCTTTAGGACGGCTGAGGAGGCCTTGCTTCAACCATTAAATAAGGATTATTTTACCTCAATATTACATATATGATGTCTAATAACCACCAAAATAAATTTTAGGAAAGTTATAACTCCTTAAAAATTATTATCGATACTATTTAATATTTTATTAATATATACTAATATAAAGCAATTCAGCAATTTACGCAAACAATTATGCCATTGAGCAACCCATCCTGGGGATGTTGCTTCTTTCTTCTGGCGGACCTAAGAATGCTACTTCTAGTACTCAATTTGTAACGTTGTTCTTGACTCTTTAGCAACGCCACAAGGCCGTGAATGTTCAAGAAAGAAAGAAATCTGTGGAGGTTAAGATGCATAAGAAAAGATCAGGTAGTCTAGTATGACTAAAATTTTTATGTTTTCTCTTGGGAGTTTTTTTTTTTTTTTTTTACGGTGAAAAAAATAACATTGTAATAATATTTATTTGAGACGTGATATATGTGAGTGTAAAAATAATTGTCGAAGAGATATCTATCTAGTGACTAATGTTGAGATATGAGGAGTCATAGAGATCTTGGGTTCAAATCTTCTGTGTCCTTCCTGATTTTAAGTCACACTCCTTCCTTGCTAAAAAAAATTAAAAACAAAAATGTGAGTTAGAAAACAATTAGCAAATTTTGTTTGAATTTCAATTTTTTGTAGAAAAATCACTGCGACGATTTGATACATGTGAATTAAAAGGTGATTAAAAAATATGTTTATAAAAAACGTAGCAATTATTCTTTGAAAATTTGCTTTCCAAACAAAGCCTAAATTGTATTAAGGTTTCGTTGTATTTTGAAAAAAAAAAATCCAAAAGGTTTGACAACAAAACTAAACAAGCAATCCAAACTTCGTCAAGGACTCGTTGAAACTCAAACAACCTTTTACCTGGCATCGGTAGTAAATGTCAGCGAGATGCATGTTTAGAATTTACAGAGTACAATCACTTACTCTATTCTCCACTCCCCCCTCTTTCTTCTATCGCTCTCTGGCCCAATTTTTTAAAAAAGCCTAGAATCCAAGTGTAACACAGATTGCATAATTCTCATCTATCTTCAAAGGCTTCCCTCTCAAGTCTCGACTATATATTAGATAGACATCCCAACTCTCTTCCTTAAGCTACAGCCAATTAAAAACCCAGCCCTTTAACCCAAACTTTTGCATCCTAAATGTTCATGAATTTTGGTTCGTTGGGCTGGACTACAGGAATTGCAGCCCAAATTTAAACTTTCTCCACAGCCCAATTCTATAATAACCGTATGTTGGTCAAAGTGAGAAAAGAACGTCGTCGGAGCAGGGTTCGCCGCCATTCCCTTCCCCTTTTCCGTTCCGATTGATTTCTGATGCAAAAAGCTCTCCATTGGAAGTGAATTCTTGGTTACAAAAAAGAGAGAAAAAAAAAAAACCATGGCTGCGAATTTTTGGACATCATCTCACTAGTAAATTACTAACTCTGTTGCCCGTAATTGTTACTATCATTTCTCCTCGTCCATCACATTGAATTTTCTTTCGAGTTCATTCTTGTTTTTGTCTTGAGCCTTCTTTTTCTTGATTCTTTAGCAAACAGCTTTTGGATCCCGAAGAGGTTGACGTGGTACATCAGATTGACAAAGAAAGAGGCATCAGTATTGAAGATTTTAAGCTCATCAAGCTGCACATGGCCAATTGTACCTTTTCCTTCTTACTCTTTTCTGTATTTGCATTAATATTACGATTAGTTAAGCCTTTTAAGTTCTTTTGGTCTTAATGAGAATGTCTGAAATCTGTAAGAAATACAAAATTTCTGTTGCATAATTTCTGTGCATTGATTTCCATTTTGTCATGCTGTTGTAAAATTTTGTTTTCAAATTGTACTTTGAAGATATCTACTTTTTAGATACCATTGTTTGATCTCAGCTCTACCGTTCCAGAAATGGCTTTTCCTGTATAATTGGGGACAACATATCTGCTGTGTAGAATCTGGACTTTTCTCATTGTCTTAATATTTGCATTCTTTTTCCAGATATTGCAAAATTGGCTCAAAATGTGAAAGTCAGGCAAAGGTGTGATCTCATTTTTTTTCCCTGTTCATCAGATTTGTTTGTTAAGTCTTTTTGTTTCCTACTAAATCGAATCGGCTGTCATCTAGACAAATTCATGTTGGCTTTTATTCTGTCCTGCATCTCGAAATTACTCAGTCCTTTGTCTCCCCGTAGGTGGCAGTTAAGCTCATAATCTGTCAAAATTTTGGAAACTAAATATCAGTTTTCAAAGAAAATTTTGAAGGAAGCATTTTCTATAACTACCTTACTTCAAAGGTCTTTAATTTATTTCCATGATGATTGCATAGTGATCTCTGCTCCATTGGCCAACTTTCAGGGTGGTGGCTACTGCCATTACATACATGAGACGTGTCTATGTCAGGTACAAGTTTTCCTATGTTAACTGAAAGTAATTTGTTCGAATTGAAGTTCAGTTAAGATGCACCGATTTCTGAGAAATATTCTATCTTAACTTGCTTCATTTGAACACTTTATTTGCTTTCATCCAAGCCAAACATTTAGACATCATGTTTGTCATAGGCTTCTATGTGCTATATCGGCAGTTACTTGCCCTCTCTACAAGAGCAATAAAAATGGAAAAGGAGAAACAAAAAAATTCTTTAAACGAATGCTTCCACAGTTTTCAACCGGGAAATAACCAAATTCAAAGCTCACTGAACGAATGATCTTGTTTTCTCAGGAGGGCATTGACTGAATATGATCCTCGTCTTGTTGCCCCAACTTGCTTGTACTTGGCATCAAAAGCAGAAGAAAGCACTGTACAGGCCCGTCTCTTAGTATTTTACATTAAGAAATTACGTAAGTAGCTCGAATTGAGACTGATAGCAGATTGCTTTCTGTTGTTTTAATTGATTTGCAAATTGCTTTCGTCTGAAGCTTGTTTTTATAGCAAAGTATGTTGTCAACTTATGAGAGTTCGCTATCTGTCTTTGCAGATTCGGATGATAAGTACAGATATGAAATTAAAGACATACTTGAAATGGAGATGAAAATTCTGGAAGCCCTAAATTATTATCTTGTCGTATTCCATCCATATCGTGCATTGTCTCAGTAAGTATGCGTATAATTATAGGAACCCTATGTTGCCCATGAAAATTCAGCTTTGTCAAGTTTTGCATTCTCTTGTACAAAGATGCTTGTGGGCCAGAATTTTATCTCTTTTTCAATTAGTTTTTGTATTAATTCTCAGGATTTGGATAGACTTGCATATTTAGCTATGAGGATAGATGTTGGAAATCTCATAATGATGATGTTGCTGTTGCATAAATTCTCATACGCTTTGGAAGCCCATGAGTTGGATATGTATTTAGTCCTCTAATCCTTGAGCTAAAGTAAATAAATTTACAAATGAGGATATTTGTATTCTTAGCTTTTCTTCTGTTATTTTAAACAAAATATTTCTGGCACTGGGACTTTAATAAAATTTTGTTGAATGTAACAGGTGAATTACAAAGCAGGGCCACTTGAATCTAACAAAATAGATGCATAGGCTCGGCAGCACCCAGAATTGGACAAACAAACCAGAATCTCTAGGATGTTTAATTGACCTTCAGAGTCCCCAACTTTTAATTTTCTTCTATCCTGCAATCAGTTTTGACTTGCTATATGGTGATTTAGTTGTTGAGCGTTAGCTGTATTGTTGATAAGGAAAGGCTAAAGGGTACAACTCAACATCTAGAATAGCTCAAATTTCATACTCATCATCTCCCTCTCTTTCCATTTGAGGATGTGTGTTTTTTTTTTTGTTGATCGTTAGTTTCCATTTTGTTACCTATATGAACTAATTTGAGCTCTGTCTTGCCTTTTATTATTGTAAGTGCCACATAATGCACAACATCTTCAAAGACCCCAGTATTGTTTTTACTGGGAACAGCTTACAGTTGAATGATTTAATGTTCATTGTTATACATTTGTTTCATGACAATATTTGGTAACTTTACTCATTGTCTTCCCTGGAACTTTACCTGTCAGGTTGCTGCAGGATGCAAACATGGGCGACACAACTCAGTTAACTTGGTAACTTAACTGTTTATAGCTTGTCTAATTTCCGTTTGTTATTTTTGCAACTTCGAATGTGTGGATGTTCCATTAACCTGTTTTAACTTGCATCTGTACATAATCTTTTAATTTCTATATATTGACTTGATGCCAGTTGTAGAGTTCCTTCTTCCTGCTGCTCAATTGTCAACATCTCTTGGCATGTGGTTTCTATTTGATAGAATGTGTAAATCAAACCATTCATTCTTTCATAGTGTTCCAGTAGTAAATATATGATTAGGGTGGAGTTTAAATGTGTAGTATGAAAACCCAGTAGGTGGATTGGTCTGTTTCGAGAAATAACTAAACAGGTGCCTAAGTTCCAAAGTAGTCCGTCTATTCCCCGAGGATATAGATGAGACATTTTCATATAAGAATGTCATCTAGGACAAAGTTATGATGAAGTTCTTTTGTGCCTCTGCCATTTTTCTTTCCAATAGAGAAAAGGGAAGGAGAACTAAATACAGAGTACATGCACTTCATATGTTTTATAATGTGAAGTCGTTGGTAGAAATGGAGAATATATTGTGAAATAATTGATGATATTGGTTTAAAATTTCTAATGATACAGGGGAATTGTCAATGACACCTATAAGATGGATCTGATTCTTGTACATCCTCCGCACTTGATTGCACTAGCCTGCATATATATTGCAAGTGTGCTTAAAGATAAAGAAAACACTGCCTGGTTTGAAGAGCTTCGGGTTGATATGAATGTGGTAAGTCCAGTGCTTTTTTTTTTTTGTTTTTTTAAAGTTGACCTTTTCATTCATCTATTTTATCTGTGGATGCATCAGTAGATTAAATTTTCTATCCATTTAATGGCATCAACTAGTTGCATTTAATGGGCTGAACCCAGTTTTGTCCAGAACCCTTGGCATTGTGAAACTAAACGGTTGATCTGTATATTATGCAGTATCTCAACCATATCACTACGTGTAATCCCCAGGTACCACCCAAGTTAGATAGATGTGGTCCTTCTTTTGTTAGAAAGTAGAAAGTTAGATCTTTTTGCAGTTACTTTGAAACTTCACAAGCACAGACATATTTCTGCCAATGCAGTGTTTCTGGTAAATGGTTACCAACTTACCAGGTGATAAGTGAGCCAAGTTGGATAATAGCAGTTTTATTACTCAACCTATTTGCTACACAAGAATAGCATTTGGAAGCATTGATTTCATAGCAAAATATGAGCAATAACATTTTTTTTTTGGGTTATTTTTGTTAAAGGTGAAAGAGATGCAATACCCATGCTGACAGATATCGTCTAGCAGCATGAAGCATGAGTGCTTGTGATTCAAATGTTGCTTTCAATTTTGTGCTCTGATTAATAAAACATGTTGGTTTTGGCAGGTGAAAAACATTGCAATCGAGATATTAGATTTCTATGATAGCCACAAAATGATCACTGATGAGAGGGTGGCTGCCGCAATGATCAAATTGAACAAATAAGAGTCCAACAAACCAATCACTCCTGCTGTTTCCGTTTGTATGGACTGACGCTAGGTACAGATGATGCATTCAAAAATAGGCTGAATAGGACTGAAAAACGAGAAGGGACAGTGTCGCTCATTGATAGTAACTGCTGTTTTTGTTTGTATGGACTACTCAATACGGCTGATGCAGTCAAAAGAAGAGCGAGTAAATATGAAAAAGAGAAGGGACGGCGCGGCTCATTCTTGCTGCTGCAAGTGAAGCTTCGCTTAGAGTTTGGGTTTTTATGCATATAAGGTAGTGCGCTTCGGTTGAATGATGCTTTTTAGAGTTGTTGTTGTAGCCTATTACTCGCATCGTAGATGTTAGCAAAAATCTCAGCAGGATGTTCACGACATTCTCTTTGTATTCAAGACTCTTAAATACTGGTGCTCCTAAATCAAGAGTCGAGTATTTGAGGGTGGTAACAAATCAGGTCTGGCGTCAAATTGATCCTTCTGAAAGCGTTATTTCCGCTGTTTGTTTAACTTCCTTTGCTAAGAATGCGAACTAAGCCCATTTGATTAGATATGTAGGTGATGCGGCTTCCAGACTGCACTATTTTATTGAAGAATTCATCATTGTTCCAAAACAAATGAACTGGTGCATTATTGTTTGATCATACAAAAGTCCCCCGCCCCTGCCCAAGCCTCGGAAACGAAGGACAAAATAACTGTTTCAAAAACAGAGGGACCTCAAGTCAACAACTCAAAACACTTTTTACTCTACAAACAAGATGAATGTGGTGCTACAAGCAAGTAAAGGGGAAATCTTGATCACGCATCGACCAACTCCTGACCTTAAAATCACCTAGCAACTCCGGAAATTGAGCGCTCTCCTACTGATGATTTCTTGGTTGCTGATCATTGTTCCATCCGATTCTTCCCCTCTTTTCTAGATTGCTTCTTGGCTGCACATAGTCCATTTAAGTTACCGTCGTGTTAGTTAGGCAAATTTTGTGAGAATTGGAATTGCTGAGTAGTAAATTTTTTTTTTTTTTTGGGGGGGCTGGGGGGTTCTTAGGGAGGAGTAGCAAGTAATTAAGGTTGACCTAGTCTTCTCTTAGCTTCAGACTTTGCAAAGAATTCCCTCCATTCATCAGTCAGAACAAACACTGGGTCTTGTTCCTCATCTTCCTCCTCCTCGTACAGCTGCTGATGTTCCTCTTCTTCCAGTTCCTCATCCTCCTTGTGCGCCACGCCTCTGGCCGAGTCACCAACGAAATCAATAAAAGAAGAGGCAATATAAAAAAAAAAAAAACATTTTCCAAGGTCATAGCCAGCCACGAATATGCTTAAAGTTAAAATTCCTTGCAAACAGTAATAATAAACATAATCTCACCTAAGGAACTCAGTTGCAATGGGCTTAAAAAAATCCTGTTATAACGCTCATTTAAGTTACTTTTACTCTGCTAAAAATTTACTGAACCCAAATCAAACTAGTCATCAGCACCCCCGTTAGAAGGAAAAAGAAGCGAAATTTTTTTTTCTCTTCAAGCGATCAAGAAACTAAAATTACCAACCTTAGAAAAGTAGGTAAATCAAGTGATGGATCTGGGAACTCAGACTCACGATCCAAGAATGATACGTCTTCTGCAATTCAAATACTACCAGAATTAGAATTTTTACTTTCACCTCTGAAAAGCTGTATGTAGATGATAAAAATACCGGTACCAGATGACAAATTGTTGGAGAAAATTCTATCTCCGCCCATTGATGAATAATGATTGCTTCCTTTCCTCCCCGTCTACGTGTTTAAGGAACTGAGACGGAGAGTGGCCTGGACTCCCACAAGAGATTGCTTCGCTAGCTTGCCAGTTAAGCTTTCAATTTAAAAGAAGTTTCTGTCACTCTGTCAGCACTGATGAGCTTATCCGGAAAACAAAAAAAAATAAAAATAAACATTTACTGTGCAGTTAGTTTTTATTTTAGTGTCTGCAGTTGCGTTCGCGTTGAGGGCTAGTGCCACGTGCACGCACTTTTGACGTGGCAGTACGTAGTGGTTTGGAGTCCTAGGTTCAGAGTTCCGACCATTTTCCAGCAAAGATAGATAATTTTGATGACCTCATCATGGACTTTTATTTATTGATATGAGTATTTATATTGGCGCAATCCTGCTGCAAAATTAAGGTTATGTTTGGATTGTATTTTTCGTTATTTTTTTATAAAAAAATTATTGTAGTAATTTGATATATGTGAGAGAAAAAGATGATAAAAAAATATGATCACAAAAAATGACAATATTTTGCGACGAAAACAAGCAATCCAAACAAGGCTTTTACATTCCAATTCCACTATCTATAGCAGATATATTCCCGCAAAAGGCTTCTGGGTGGCACCTGCCATCTGGTGAAGGTGAAGGTGAAGGTGGAGTTGGGGCCCTAGTAATGCAAGTGAATGGTTAAGAATTTACTCATTCACAGCACAGATTTCCTCGCGTTAGGCACAGTTAATAGTAGCAAACAAATTTCGTTATTCGCGTTAGGCACAGATTTCCTCCCCTAAGGTTTTTGATAATTTTATTGAATCCCTGAGATTTGAAAAATTATACATACCTTCTTTATCATTTAAAATAATAATACTACCTTTAAATATTTTAATGAAATTCTCTTGTTTGTTTAGTATGCTTATACTTAGAATGACTTTAAAATTATTTTTCATTATTTTTCCTTCTTATTCCTTTTTATTTTAATTTTTTGCCAATAAAATTGTAAAATTACCACTATTATCTCTAGTTTTTATTGTAACCAAATATCAAACTAATGATTTTTTTTATGAGTTAAATTTATAGGTAATCTGATGTATTTTACTAATCTTTGTTTTCTATTTTTTGATATTAAAATTAACAATAAATAAAAAAGAAATTGCCTAAAATCACTACTAAATTAGGATAATCTCACTACTAAAAAAATTTGTAAACTTTGAATCAATTATTTCAATATTTTATTTCTATCTTATAAATCTAAATCCATGATAAAATACCATAAAAAATATCCTATAATAATAATAAAATTATTATTATAATTGTTTATCAGATAGTAGGTATGAACATGAAAAATTCGACACCTTTTTCTTTTAATTACATTAGATAATCTTATAATTCTATAGAAAAGTAAATTAAAACTTATTATACAAGGATATTTTTGGATATTCATTTAAAAATTTGACCAAATCGATATTATTTTATAATTTTGTTACTAAAACTATCAAATTAAGGGAAATATGTGTAATTTTTAAAATCTCAGAAAAGTTCAGTGAAATTGTCAAAAACATTAGGAGAGGTTTCTGAAATTATCCCTAAAAGAAAAGAAAAGAAAAAATGGACGCAACCACCCAAATCAGCATCATTAAAAAGCTAGTCATATTCATTTCCAAGATTATAGGCTTGCCATCAATTCCCAATTAAACATCTTCTCTTGCCACTCGCTATCAATGTGCAAGCAAAGAAACAAAACAGCCGCGCGAATGTTACTGCAAGCATGTTGGGTTGTCAAAGATTAGACATTAGCAAAAATGTACAGACTGTGAATGGTTAAAGCTGATCAGAAAATTTTTCTGCTTTACTATTTCCTCTATCATATTTCATTTTGTATAGTGGGTTGTAATATAATTACATCATCAAAATTGCATTGCTGTGCTATTAAGACCACAGCTACTCTTGGATTCACTGGCAAAAGCTCTCCCTGCCCGAGTGATCAGCTAAAAGACCAAATCATTTTCCCTTCCTCGGAAACTCCTCCGTCTCTGATCCCCATTGTCAAACATCAAGGTCCAGTGCTCTTTAGCAAAAATTATCCATAGGCAGAGCAGCAAGAAATTTTCCAAGGGAGAATAGCATCATCCTCGCGTCAAATGATGCCCGCACAAGTTCACCAGCAGCGTGCCCACAGTGATGTCTGCCGTGGGCTGATTCATAGGTGTGCCGAAGAGCTCGTTCATCACCCTTTTTTTTTTTTCTCTCTCTCTAGCCCTTCGACCCTCGAACTCCAAAAATTCCTCACTATAGATTATCAGGAAAACAACAAACCAATCCACTCTGGCCTGTGCCTCCGGATTCATTTTGGAAACGGTTGCAGCACAAGGGAGCATTTAGCAGATAGAGGTGCCAAACAAAAGTATGCCACCTGGTGCTGCATCAGGGGAAGCCAACTCAAATTTATACTAACTAGTAAGGAATGACATAAGGAAGCGCAATAACATCTGCAGATTCTATCCGCAAAGCCTCTGCCCATACCTGCTCTGATTCCTCAATCACTGGGGAAACATATTTAGGATTCTTTGCCTGGTGATCCTCCCTACTGAACAACCACTTCTGTCATCAACATCAGACCATTCTACTTTAGGGAGAGAGAGTACCTGACTCAGATATTTGGCATCAGGATGTGGAGGCTTCAGGTACTTTTCAACAATTTCCTTGTCTTCTAGACAAGCAGAAGACATTTCCATAGAACATGCTTTAGGTTTCTTGAGCTCCACTGATCCATTAATTTTTGATGCTCTCTCATCCAATTTAGGCACCACAAAGCCATTACTCCGCGATCCCTTCTCACTCAGTTTAGGGATACAGGCTCCTGCCTGTCTTTCTGCTGCATTTAGGTTGTTGAACTGGCTGGATCCTAACTTCCTCCCATTTTCAGCAACTGGCTGCATTGATAAAACCTTTGTAAAATCCTTAGTATTGTTACTAACCACCCCCTGCTCCAATTCTGTAAAGCTCCCAACAAATTGACATGATTCCGAATTTCTTCCAGTTCCCGATGGGGCTTCAAGGATGAAGGCTGTCACTGGCCTTACCATGTTTGCTGACTGCCTCCTGCCTTTCAGAAGCTATATTAATGGGAATCTGTGTCATTTCCAACTTCCTGCCATTTTCAACAGGCGAAACAGAGGACAAGAACTTGGCATTTGGCTTATGTTTCTGCAATGTACTCTCCTTCTCCAGATTCAACTGGTTGCCCTTACTAGAAGATTCAATTGTGTTTCCAGTTTGAACGACTTGACAAGAGGAAGATACAAGTCTTGGCAATTTGTTATTCTGAATCTCATGGCCTGTTACAAAGGTCAACGTTGCACAGAAGATTAGAAATTGAGCGTAACCCATTGCCCTTAAAGCAGCTAAAAGGGAAGCAAAAGTCATCTAGCTGCTGGGTTGAACAACCAAGGCTGTTGTAAAGGCAATCTTACGTTGACAAATTGCAAGTACCTTGTGTATCCATGTACGTGTGTGCTGCATGCATCAGTTGTCCCAGAGAGGACAAGGCATCAAAAATTTAACAACTGAAAACATTGCAAACCTCAAATAGCAATGCTTAAGCAGAGTATACAAGACGCTACATAGAAGAGGTGCCACCAAGTAAGTGCCACAAGTTTACAATTTTAACAAAAGAAAAACTCACCATTCACACATCCATCCATTTCAGGCTCCTTTCTTTTTCCAAGTATCCCGTTCTGTACATTGGTCTCCTTGAACAGATAAGAACCTTCATCATTTTTAAAATCTCTAGCATTATTGTCATGTTCTCCTAATTTACTAGGCATTAGGCTAGAAAACTCCTTTGCCTTTTCCTTCTCCCTTTTCCTATTTTTATCCTTTGATTTGCTTTTCTTTTCTCTATCTCGGCCCTTTTCTTTGTCTCCCCTACCATCAGCACCCTTGTGTTTTTTCGAATCCTTTCGCTCCTTTTGCTTCTCTGTAACCTTATCTTCTTGGTAAGAACTTCCTTCAATATTTTTTTGAATTTTGGGAGGAAAATTATGAACAAAACCATTTGCAAATCCAATGCCATTAATTTTGACAGTTTGCCCATTAGGTATCCTATTTTTCTCTCTTGTCCCTGAATTTTTATTCCCATCATCCAAGACACCAATCTTGTGCTCCAACACTTTCCCTGGTGGTGTGAGATCTCTATTAGTGATTCTTTCCAAAATCTGCAATTCTTTTGCTCCATCGTCCTTCCTAACTTTGTTTCCCAAATCAACAAAAAGTCTAGAGTCTGAGTCTCACCAACCTCTAAGCCTGTTAGACCAAACTTCTCACTGTTTTGATGGTCTGAGAAGGCTACAATTGTCTTCTCGTCGGAGGTTTTCTTCTCTTCTTTATTGCTACTTTTCTCCTTCTTGTCTTTGTGCCTGTGTTTTTTGTCTTTCTTTTCTCTGTGTTTTTCACTGCTTTTTTCTTTGTCCTTTTCTCTTCTCTCTTTCTTTTCTTTGTCCTTCTTGTCCTTCTTATGCTTCTTCTCTCTGGGTTTCTCCTGAAAAAACATTTATAGAAAAATGTAATGAAGAAGAAACAACAGAGCCATACTACAGCACACTGCATCTAATTAAAGAACCATAAAAGCCAATAACAAAGATCATTTTCAGAGGCAATAAAAGCTACCCAAGATAAGAATTGAAAAGGGAGAACAATCTTAATGAAAGAAAAAGGAAACCAACAAAGACTTAAACAATGAACAACTGTTGACAAGCTCTGCTTAGTCACCTTCTAGCTCCTGTCTAACTTTTAATTAACAATCAACCAGAGTTCAAGCAAAACACACTTTCAGTAAATGACTTTGTCAAGAAGTCAGAGAATGCAACAATGTCAGCAAGTATATGCTAATTGCTTTTATACCCACATAGGAAATATGGATCATATGACTGGAAATTTATGGCGCACAATGATTATGCAGCTGCGACGTCAAAGAAAAACAAATGCTTACAGCTTTGGCATTCAACCCATGTTGCAAAACCCAAACAACTAAGCAAGAATATAGTCCGTATAAAGCACAAAAATATCTGGAAAACTTTAATTGGAAGTTTCTATCCTAGCGACATATTCCATTTAATACCATGTGCTGGATGTGTCATACTTAATATCCTGATAAATAAGCGAGAATTAAAATAGTTATTGTGTCTGACAGAAGAAAGTAAATAGTAACACAACACAGAGAAAAAACATTAAGATATTGCACAGGTAGTCCAGCTTACCTCTAGGTTTACACTTTACACAGAGTAAAGTACTATAGGAAGTTCGAGTGTTATTCTGACTTTCAATCTTATACGAAGAAGCTTCCATAAATGCCCTAAAACACAACTCTAGTTAGCAACACTGGCACCACTAACATCTTACTTTTCACCGTAAAATTCCAAACATAAAAGTTCATGTACATCATGGCCTCCATTTGGCTTCTAGAGAAGTAAACTTGGTTACACGATATTTTCTGCTCCCAACTCAAGCCTTAGTTATTTAAAATGTAAACTTTTGTTATAGCTGCACATTGTAGTAAACAATGCAGAGATTACGGAAATTGACAAAAACTGAAATTACATGTTTGAGAAAGGCTCCTACGGTCATGTTGGCAAACACAGCAGGCGGAAACAGGAAAATCAATCAATTCGAAACATTTATCGTACATAACAATGAAAATGAGCATCCATTCCTCAGATTTTCAAAGACATGCGGTGAACATTCAAAGAAAGGAACCGAAATAGTAGATATACTCTGCTCAAATTTTTAACTAACCTAATCAACTTCTTTAACAGATGACCAATTCATAGCACAAAAATGGTGTACTTATGAAGATTATCTTTATTTGTATTTGCTTCACATATGACTATATGAGGCACATGGTACACTGAAGAATACATGTTTAATATAGGCCCCCACATTTCAGGTGACAAATCCCTGACATTAAATTAGCATAGAATGCCATGTACTAAGCATCAAGTTTATTTCTTATGTTTTCAGAAAAATAAATAATAGAAAGCAACCAACAGATTGGGACAACCATAATAAACTTGCCAAACAACCACCAATTATGTCACTTCCAACCATACAAGTCTTGCTTGCCCAACCATACAAGTCTTGCTTGATTTGTAGTATGATCCTATAACTTCAATCTCATGAAAGATGACACTGTTGATAAACCGTCATGCAAAAGAAATAGGTAGACAATGCCATCCAAAATGAGTACTGAACTGCATTAGAAGATGACAGCCAAAGGAAACTAGAACTATCCAACAGACGAAGCGTGCTGACAAGTACTCTACACTGATTCACCCAGAAATGCACACGAGTTGGCAAGGAAAACACATCATACAGAACAGACAATTCTTATATATGAAGCTATTTACTCTCCAGCCGAGAACAGAACATTCAATCAAAGAAGGAGAAGTACACCGCTGCCCCAAAATTGCCAGTCATTCACACATTGCATTGCAATAACCAAACTGGTAGAGGAAAAGGTAAAATCTTACCCAAGCATCAGGGATATTAAGATACCCCAAGCTTGTAGTTCATAAGATTGTTATAACAGTCATCAGATTGTTACATGTATTCAACTTTTTCCTCCACCTAGGTATATTATCTTCTTGCTTTGAAATGCAAATGAGAGGAAACAACATCAAAGCCCCTAAGCTAAACTTGGCCTGTGAATTTTTGAGACAAACGAGTCCAGATTTTTGGAAATTAAGATATGATGAGTAAAGTAGTTCCACTTGTTAAGTGGCAAGATGCTGTACCAGCTTACTATCTGACAAATTCCAACTATCTTAAAAGATCATGCATATAGGGCCATAGCCTGACAAATTTATCAACTACTAATCTGGTTAAGAGAAAATCATCATCAATGGTTCAAAGTATGTTGCTTCTCCTGCACAAAATTATCATCTTCCACAACCTTAAGCCATGTGATAAACAGGTAACAGATGCAATGCCGCAAATACGTTATACCGAAGCAAGCTTGCCCAAGTTAATTCAAAATGATCCACAATACTACTATTACTCCCTTTTCTTCATCCAAGCGATTTATCTCAAATTTCACCATAGGTCTGTCTGAGATTCCCCAGGAACCAAATGATATAGGAAGAGCATTTGAATTCAGTGTTTAATGCATTCAATAAACGCAATGCTACCAACATGAGTAGAAACCAGCTACAATTGGTAAAAGCTCTTAAGCTTGTATAAGAGAGTAAAACCTTTAGTAACAAGTTTGCATCTTCATCAGGCCTAGTCTTCTTTTCATATCCGGGAGGTGGAAATGGAAAGCAGCGAGACATTGCACGTGATTAAGGAAACAGCAGAATGGGAACTTTCCACCAGTGGTAGAGCTTCCCTTAGTTTCTGCTTGTGCTGTTCCAGAATGGGAACAGACACAGATAAACTTCTTGCCCATGTACCATATCCTTGCTATCATTTCCAGATTGGGCATTAATCCATGGTCTTCTTGAAAGATCCCCAAACAAAATTTCCAGAATCCAGCAACCGGATCCTCACCTCTACTGGTGGTGAAATAATAAACCAAGATATTGGTGAATAATTTAGATAAACTACGGCACTGAAGTGCACAACTAATGCACTGAACAAAATTGTCTCAACCTGAATCACACGTTGAAGAATCAACAGGTCCACAGCAATCTGATCCACAGACAATTCTACTAGAGAACTACACCTGCCATCATCCAAAACCAAAATCAGGGCCTTTTTCCTGAACAAGAGAAATATCAATAATTAAACAACAGAGGCAGCAGTAAACACCACAACCTCAAAATGCAAAAACCAGTTAGTTCTCTCCACCCCCTATCCTAATCCGAACTGATATTCAAACAACAGAGGAGTTTCCTCAACTCTTTAGACGGTTCACAGGGCCAAAACTCCAAACTAGAGCTACAGAACACGCACTAGCTAGTCTCAAAAAGACAAAAATCCAATCTTTTAACCGAACAATGTTGGAGCATACCACAATCTAAACTACTACAGGAACTCCTTTAACCCAGTAATCCGATCTCTAACCATTACTCTGATCATAACCCTATTTGTTCAACATGGGCAGTTCGTACTCAATCCAACAGATCAAAACCTAACAAGATCAGTCAAGAAAACCATCAAAATGCAATTCCCATTCATTTAAAAGTGAAAAGAAAAGGGACCACTTAAAAATTCATTAAATAACAAGAAAACATTCTTAAGTCGAAAATTTTACAAGATTGAAATCAATATTATTCTCTCTCTTTTTTTTTTCTCTCTTTCTTCTCATCAAGAAACCATTTAGAAAACAATTCCAAAGATTTCCAAGAAGTACCATTAAAATATTTATTCTTTACTGGTTTTAAAATACATAGGCATTGTCAAATACACAGAGAAGATCAAGAAAAAAAGAAGAAATAAAGGAAAATCTCAAAGTGTCTCTCCTCTTCTTTCCTCTTTCTTTCTACCTCTCTTGCCCCCAATCCAAAATATACACAAAGTGGGTTTTCTCTGTAAGTGAGTTTTTTGCTTGCGTTTGTTTCTTCTCTCCTCAGATCCTCAAAAAATCTTTGCCGCAGTTCTCGTACATGGGTTTTGCCCAGAAGAAGGCCACCCCACCTCGCGGATTTTAATCCCAAAAAAGGGAAAAAAAATTGTGCCCCCGGGGGGCAAGCCCCTCTATTTATAAAGGGTGACCAAGAGAACAAGAAAGAGGTAGAGAGGGAGAGGTGGGGAGAGAAACGTGTTAAAAAAAGAAGGATCCAGACGCATACGATGAAGGGTGGTAATGGGTGGCCAATTGGGAAATAGGAAACCATTCTTCTGTTTCTGTTTGTTTTTGCAAACCTACACGTACATTTTTATTTTATCTTTTATTCTAACTTTACTCGTTTTTTTTTTTTAACACAGGGGTATCCAGGTCAATTCTTACGGGATCCGACTAATTTCCTGTGGCTCGGGCTCGACGCTCCAATCCAACCCGAACGTGATAAATGTGCGGAGAAATCTAGTGGAACGGAGACTCGAACTTGAGACTTTAAGGATCAACGGTAAAAGACGCTACCATTGGACCATTCACGCGAAGCTATTCTAACTTTACTTCATTCAAGCCTTTTAACATTAACCTGGCTAGGGTACAACAGTTGCATATGCAAATTCCGTGTCACCTCACAAAAGTCACAACTCGCATCTGCATATGGGCACGCAGCAGAGCAAAGGTATGTGCATTAAGGTAAGATGTTGCAATCTTGGCTTTCAATCTGTCAAAGAGGTTAGTTAGAGGCCCCGCGGCAAAGGTCGGATATATGTGGACCAAAGCTTTCAATCTGATAAATCTTGGCTGTTTTTTTTTTTTTTGGTTAAATAAATCCCAGGATTATTGTGTGTTGAAATCGAGGAATACGAGATATATATATATAGTTACTTTCTTTTTTTTTTCCCCTCCCTTTTCCCAAGTAGTGCCAGTTACGAGTAGTGTTCCTAAATCATAACAAGGTAATCTAACGTGTAACCTTATCAATTGGGCATTCATTTTTTGTTATCGAAACAACTTGTAAATGAGTGAATTTTATAACTCGTTGCATTGATTATCTCTGACACAGAAAATGCGGTCCTGAGATCAGGCTTGAACAGTATTATCTATTCAAGAAAAACATATAGTAGCATATATATATATATATATATTATGGTCATCCTTTTCGCTTCATCCGTTGTATCCAAGAGTCAGTCACAAGAAAGAATCTGAACCATTGATTGACCTAATTTAGGCAAACTTCGTTCATTTAAGCATTTGCTCCGTCTGGGGACAGGTTGAAAAAATAAAATAAAAAGAGCACTCGCCACTCATCTCATCATTACCTGTCCGTTGTGTAAAAGAAAACGAATCGAATCTCATGGTCATATGCCATAATAATACTACTACAAGTTAAGAGAGAAAAGCAACCATAAGCTTTTTCGCTGGTGGTCATCATCAATGCATCAAAGTTTAGTTGATCCCATTAATTTGTCATGTTTTTTGTTTAAAAAATTCAGATGGATACGTAATGCATCCATCTGGTTTAATAGTGGTTCGATTCCTATCAAATTACTCTTAGACTTATTCAGGTCCTTCCTTTTTCCCTAATGTAGGATATCTATCGTATCGACAAAAAAAAAAAAAAAAAGATTAAGAGAGGAAAGCATTTGTTCCTATTAAGTATGGTGATTGCTTTGTGCATCCTCCATATATACACCAATCATCTTTAACGATGTACATTTTTTAATTGTCTGCACCTAAAATAATGAAAGAATTCATTAAATAAAATTTTAGTAATGCTTGTGAAAAAAATGATATTTTAAAACTGATATATTCTTAATTTTTTTTTTGTTTAATAGAAGTCACGAAAGGCTAGCTGCAATGACACAACCCATAAAATCATACACTTAATGTTCTTAGTTTTTTTTTTTAATTCTTGATTTAGTGAGAGACTTTAATATTTGCAAGAGAGAGAGAGAGAGAGAGAGAAAGGAAAGGGTCAAAAAAACAGGTACGTTAAATGTAAAATAGTTAAAAGAGCTTATTTTTTGGGCTGAAGCGAGGAGCTGTATTAAAATCTAATATAAGTTGGGTCCAAGATGAGAGGCATCGACGTGCATTGTCGTCGCCCAAATACCTGCTCCCTGGAGGAGGCCAACATATTATTCTTCTGGACCCGAGTCCACCCTTAAGCGGGATAGAAATGACAGTTGAATCCGGTTCTTTATGGGCCCAATTATTAGTTAGGTACATGGGCATCCTTTGGGTACAACTGCTAGATAATGTAAGTTTGTGTGCAACATGTTACCTTACATGTTTTCTCCAAAAAAACCAAAAAAAAAAAAAAGGAAAGTTACTAGTAGAAAAGGTTAGACATACACTCCACATTGTAACACGTGCAAATTATTCTTGAATTTATGGGACTAATATTCTAACTAAATTGTTAAAAAAAAAAATAGAAACATCATGTGATGGCTATGAAAGCCACCCAAACGCTTCTTGAAGTACTGCCCTGCCAACTCAAACAGGTATTTAAGACATTTGTTGATAAAGTGGGCTGAGCCATATCCAGTTATCAACTGCCTTAAAATCGGTCTTTTATTGGGCTGAAGTTCTCTAATTGCTCCCCATGGATTGTGGTGTTTGCGTGAACGGGTTTGAGGACGAAGGTGCGCACGAAATCCAATTATCCATGGGCCCAAACCCCTTTCGCAACAACAGTAAAAGACACGAAAGCAAATCCATATGGTATGATACAAAACGGACATCAATCAATCATTTGTTTGTTGCCATTCTGTATTCTCTACTCTCTCAAGTTTTATTTATTTATGGCTGGAAGTCTTTTTTGACTTTATCTGCTGAAACAGGATTTGGTTTTGCAATTGTAATCTTCGGTAAAACGGTAAAAGGTTAAAATGCAGCAGCATGGTTGGAAAATATCATGACAGAATAGCCAAAACATTTTTCAAAATACTTAATTGCAATTTCTGATCTTATGTTTCCACCCGGAGATTGTATGTAAATCAACCCCAAGTGCTGCTCTGCTCGTTAATTATTACACGGGATTGATAGACAGACAGCTAAAGGAGTGGGGTAGTAAAGATTGGTTCAGTTTTCTCTACATTATATCATTTTAGACAAGCAAGGTTAATTTAATACAACATAAATGACTTTCTCAATCAGGAATACAGGCAGCTAATAAATCACCTCTTTTTTTTTTTCTTCCTTTTTTCGATACAAATTAAGGAGAGGAAAACACCTCTCAGCATACGATCAATTTGCACACCTATTTCCTTCTCTCCGAACAAAATAAGTTAATCTGCATTCCCAATCTCGTTGTAGCATTTCCCTAATCTGTTTCACAGCATATTGAAGTATGGACCTGGGAGGGAGTGTGAGGGTGCTCTTTCGTTGCGCGTGCATGGACTCAATTTTCCAAAATCCTCGATCACAAGGACCACGGAGAGTGAGGAATGGTGGCTCTTTGCTGTTTTCTTTCAAGTTGAATGGTAGCTCACGACAGGACGAATTAAATGCCTTCAAAACAAAGAAAGAGTTCCAGTACATATGGTAGTTTGAGCAGCGCCACATTGAAATACATTAATTCGAAATCAGTTTCATTGTAGCAAATGAACCTAGCTGTCTGTACCCAGGCATAAATCCGCAAATCTCTTGTTTTGGAAGATCATTACAATGATTTTTGTCTGCTATATATAAGCAGAAATTTGTGAAGAAGAACCGGTGTTATGCGAGCGTAGAGCTGTTAATTGAACGAGCAGCTCGAAAGCTCGATTGAACTCGACTCGATAAGGCTCGAAGTCGATATATGCTCGTTTAATTAACAAGTCGGGTAAGCTCGACACATTTGTTATTCGAGTAGCTCGATTAGCCTCAATAAGAAAGGGTATATATGTCATTTCACAATTCAAAAGTATAAAAATTGAAAATTACAGATTTTTAGTGGAGTTAATTTGTACGAGTTTGAGCTCGTGCAAGTTCGGCTCATTTGTGATAAACGAGTCGAGCTTGAGCTATATGTCTCATTCGGCGAGACGAGTCGGAACATTTTCAAACTTGTCAATCTAATTGAGCGAGTTCGAACTTTGCTCGAATTAAACTCGAGTCAAGCTCAACAGCCAAATACTCGGCTCGACTCAACTCGATTAATAGTTTTATGCGAGAGCATTTGCCTTCCATGCTCGTGCGGCGGTGCGGGCATGCCAACACCAGGCAACAAACATACAGGTGCATAGTTTCTGAAAAAAAAAAAAAAAAAAGGTAGAGAGGTGCATAATTTTTTCCCCATTACTTTTGAGTGCCGAATTCTAAAGCCATATTAAATTTAGACCTCGGAGCCAGTGTTTTCAACACTTTTTATCTTGTTCATGCTATTGATGTATTTGTTATCATAACTTGGCTACAATCAAATTATACTGCTATATCGAATACCATGAAACATTTTATTTGTGTAGACTATTTTTTTCCCCAATACAACAGTTCACATGATTAACACTAAATAATGTAACAAATACAATAATAATACAGAATTGGACTGAAGTACAAGCTTACTGCCCCAAATTCATAAAATTTAGTAATTCCCCCATCCCACTTTAATAGGCTTATATTTCCTTTCCATCCGTCTCAAATTATAATTTATTTTTTCATTTAAACATGTAATTAACTTACTGCTTATCTAAATATACTCTTATTTAATGTAGGTTATTATTGAGTACAATCTAACTTATTTAATAAAATAATCAGTCATACTCCATTTGATGTAACTAAGGGTGTTTTAGAAAGATAGTGAATTAGATTTACTTTTTCAACAAAATTAACTGACTAGCTTTTATTAAACTGTGCGAGAGACAAAAAAAAAAAAAAATCAAACCTATCAAGCTGGCATGCCCAAGGCTAATTTCTCATATTATATTTGCATTTAAAAAAAAACAACCATCAAATACACCTCTGTCAGGATCGTTTCTAAATTGTATAGCGGCCGTGCTGATTGGACACGGCCCCATGACTAAAAGTTGATCCGAATGTTCTCTGCAAAAAATTAGTGATGCACGGTAGGTGTCAGACAGGGACGTGCTGACTGGGCACGTCCCGAACTGACAGAAAACTGAGTCGTCGGTCAAATTAGCTGTCAGACCGGGACGTGCTGACTGGGCACGTCCGGCTGACTGAAACTGACACCAGTCTGGGCATTGTCCCCGGCTGACAGAAAACTGGTTCGTCTGGGCATGAGAAGATTCTTGGATATAAAGCCTCCTCCTAGCATGTCTTACAGAAATGTGCAAAAG